GAGCAAGCGCGGCTCCCGCATGATCCCCCGCGCTCGGACCAGCGTGGGCAGCAGTCCAATGGCCCGATCAGCCTGCGCGCTCATCGGGGTCAACCGTGGCTGCGTGGGCTGGCCAGATCAGAGTGCGCCCCGCCTCCCTCGGCACGCCGAGCAGACGCCAATGCGCAGCGTCCGACGCCCCCAGCGACGTCGCTGGATGCCATCTATCGACCCCGATGCCAGTCTTCTTCTTGAAGCACCGCGCGACCCTCTTCAGCCAGTCAAAGTCCGCGTCCGCGCACACGGCCAGTTCCGTGCGTTCCTCGTGCGCCCGCGGCCGCGGGGCCTCCTACAGGGGGTCGCCCACGCGCCAAACGTCGCTCCACGCGCCCAGCGCTGCCTCGGCGGCCTGGGGCGGATCTGCCGACGCCTGCGCCGCATCCGCCCGTCGGGGCCTCCAAATCTCCACCGGCATGCTGAGCCCGCGTAGACCCCCGGCCGCGCACGACGCTGCCGCCTCTCACTTGTCGGCGCACTTCTCACCCCTTTCTCGGCCAAGTCCTTGTCGTAGCGCTTGGGGCGGGCCTGCGCCTCCTGCACCTTCACCTGCCAGTCCTTCTGCGTCGTGAGATCTCGCTGGGTGCCCCGCGATGCCGGCGCGCAACGCCCCCCTCCATTGCTCGCGGCCGTCCTCGCCGACGGCCTTCAAACAGGAGGCCCCCGCGCCGAATTTCTGCTCAGGGGCGAAGGCTTCCTTGAACCTCCCTGCTGGGGGGCGGCGCTCACCGCCCGCGAGCGCAGCCTGCCGCGGGCGCCGGCCACATTTCGCAGCGAGCGCGCCGTCCACCTCCGCCACAGCGCAGCGCCTTGAGGTTTCGGCAGATTGGAACGACCTCGTGAGATCACTCCTAACCTCCACTGCGGCAGCTGGGCTCACCCACCCTGCCCATGAAGCTCTGCCTGGATCATGTTATGCGCGCCGAAAGCCTCCTGTTCCAGCACGTGCTTGTCCTGGCCCCATGCCTGGGCGGCGGCTCGGGGGAAACGCCAGTCGGCGCGTCGTCCAGCGGCTTCGGCCAACTGAGCGTTCTCGCCCGCCTCTCCCTTAAGCGCGCATCCAGCGCGAACTCCGCTGGCTTGCGCGGCGCCGACCGCCGCTCCTCTGCGCGGCGACTTTCGCGACCTGGCCCCCGGCGCCTCCGACGCGACGAAGTAGTCGATGGTGGCGTTGGCCCATGTAGTATGGCATGCGCCGCGCGATGCTGTCGGGACCACCGGCGCTGCCGTGGCAAGCTTGAACGCGCCAAGCTCCGCCAACGCCGCCGGGTCGTTTTGAGAATCGCCGCGCGCGACCCACGGGGCAGCCAGGCCCTCGAAGTGCCCGATCACGTGCTCCAAGAAACGCTTGTTGCGGTAGGACATGCCCTCAGCCGCCAATAGATGCGACGACGTGACCACCGGGCCGCCGCGCCCACGTCAATCCAAGCTGCCGCAACTCGCCATGGACTGCCAGTGGGAGATATGTCCCGCGTCTTCTGGCCCATGACGTAAGCCACACAGACATATTTCGGCGCCGCGACGGCGACGCCTGCCGACGCGCGCCCCCGCCCCCCGCCGGCCGGCAGGGGCGCGGGATGGGCCCCGCCAAGCTGGAAGCCCTGCGCCTGCATGTCGAAAGGAACGCCCGCCCGCCTGTCGCCCAGCAGGTGGTGTTCCTGGACCGCGCAAGTGCGCCACATCTCCACATCCTTGGGCTCCACCAGCTTCTCCTTGATGGCGTCCCAGCTGGAGCCGGTGCGCGACCGCGTTCCGCTTGGGACTGAGCCTTGCTGGCTGGTGGGCAGAAGAGATGTCGCAGCTGCGCATCTCTCAACACCTTCGCATGGCCCCTCCACCCACCAACAGCCCGCTGCTCACGTACCCCTGCGCGCCCCAGCGTACCGCCGCAGCAGCTGTCCTCCACTCCGCACCCCCCTGGGGAATGCGCTTCCCAGGCCACGGGCGCCGTCGCCACGTCAGGGCCGCCGCGCGCGCGCTGCATGTGAGGCGAGGGCTGCGACGACGAAGGGCTGAATGCCTCCGCCGTCGCCTCCATCGCACCTGCCACCACTCCAGGGCCTGCCCACCAGCTATCCCCTCGATGACCTCTGTGCGCGCAACAGCGCCCTCGGGCAATTGCCCCTCTGGCCACCCCTCAGGGCCCCAGTCAACGCTCAACCAGGCTGGCACGCGCTGGTTCTGGCGCCGGTTGCTCACCGCCACGGCGAGGAAGGTCCGCTCCGATCAGGACGAGCAAGAGCGGGCTGCTAAACCACGCGCTGTCGCTTTACTTGATTGGTTTTCCGGCAAGTTGGCCAAGAAACGCTTCCCAGCTTTTCGAAAGGTTTCACAATCAGATGCTCGACCGTAGCACAAAAATCAATAGTGCAAGTTGAAAGCCATAGTTCAGGAGATCCGTATGCACCACAAACATGGCTCGTGCCAACACGAGAAATATGTCGTCCCACAGCGTTATCAGAAAGTCTGACACATCCCGCTAGGATCGTACGAACCTTGTGTTGAACCTACATTGCTGTTGATTGAGGCACAGCTTGACTTGTAATGAAGGGGCAAGTGACCTCGTACCACGTATAGTTTGGATTCAGCTGTGCTGGACTCGTACCGAATCGAGCGCTTATGATGCACTAGATGCGAGCGAATTAGAGCGAGGGTACCCTCAATTGCTTCCAGAGGTTGGCCGTATCATGGCAGTACCGCGGATGGAAGATGTGGAACCTATGACAAAACAAAACATGATTGGAAAACGCCATCTACAGCGTGGTTCAGAAAACAAAGTCTGACCCAGACTGGTGAATAAAGGTAAGCGTCAGGCAGGAGGACCAAGACCTCCGATGACGTGCTCTCTTCAACACATGACCCACAGACATCTCGACCCCTTCCCTGGATCCCTGGACGACTTCTGCCCATCCTGGGGTCAGACAACGGCACCTGGACATCTCGGCGGCCCGCACGAAGGGGTAATTATGGGGGAGGGGGGGAGGCTTCTGAGAAGGAGGCTGCCTCTTAGAAGGTGCGGGCCTGACATATACAGACGAGGCCGCGCTCGCTGCGCGCGGAGGAATCTCCAAGATTTGGGTTGAGTCGGGCGTGTCCCCCTACAGGGGGGGTTTGGACGAAAAATGAAACATACAAAAAAGTACTCCAAAATGGCCCAAACTCAGATAATAATACCCGTACTATTTCTTGACTATGTTTGAACATTCCTCCTGTAGAGGGACAAGCTCGACTTAAGAATAGGGCGAAAGTCCTCCCGGTGTCGGCCAAAGTCGCCAGAACTCTCGGTCCCTGCCCCCCTCCCTCCTCAGAACCGGGCGCACGCTGGCAGGGCAGGGGGATGAGGAGGAGGAGGGGGAGGGGGCGGAGGGGGAGGAGGAGGGGGAGGAGGGATGGGGAGGAGGGGGAGGAGGGGTAAGGAGGGGGGGAAAGAAGGGGAGGGTGGGGGAAGAGGAGGGGGAGGTGGGGAAGTAGGGGGAGTAGGAGGAGGAGAGGAGAGGAGGGAGGAGGAGGATGAAGGAGGCGGAGAATGAGGAGTAGAGGAGGAGGAGGATAGGAGGAGGAGGAGGATTAGAGAGGAGGAATCGACGAGGAGGGGGGGGAGGGAAGGGGGATAAAGGGGGCGGAGGGAGTTGCCCGAGGGGCCGAGTAGGCTAGAGGAGGAGGATGAGGAGGGAGGAGGAGGAGGAGGAGGAAGATAGAAGGGGAGGTAGGATGGAGGAGGAGGAGGAGGAGGAGGAGGAGGTAGGAGGAGGGGTGAGAAGGGGGCGGAGGGGGCGGATGAGGAGGATGAGGATGAGAGGAGGAGGAGGAGGCGGAGAGGAGAGGCGGAGGGGTAGGAGGAGGAGAGGAGGAGGAGGGGAGGAGGAGAGGAGGAGGAGGAGGATGAGGAGGAAGAGGAGGGGGAGGAGGAGGAGGAGGAGGAGGAGGAGGAGGAGGAGGAGGAGGAGGAGGAGGAGGAGGGGGAGGAGGAGGGGGGAGGGGGGACGGCTTCTCAGAACCCGGCGCTTGCTCACGCGGATCAGGGATGCGTGGATCTGGCGCGCGGTCGCCAGCTCCATGGATTGGGGAGGGGTTCCCCCAAGAGAAGCTGCGCGCCGATGCCGCCCGACGGGGCGGCGGAGCGCCCCGAGTCTGCCCGCGGAGGCAAACCCACGCGCCCAGATCCATGTCTTTGCTTCCTCGGCAGAGGGAGGCTGCTTCTCAGGAGGGCAACTGATGCCCGCGTCCTCGGTCCTCGGGGAGAGGGGGGGGCGTCGGAGACGCCCGAGAAACGCCGGCATGACGGAAGCGGGTCCTGAGGGAGACGCGCCCTGGACCCGGGGGGCTTTTCCCTGGGACCAGGTCCTCACCGCGAGCCGTCTTGGCGGCGCGCACGAAGGGAGTAGAGGGGGAAGGGGGGAAAGGCTTCTCAGAAGGAGGCTGCTCCTTAGAAGGCGCGGGCCCTACATTTAGAGACAAGGCCCGCGCCTGGTAAGAGGCAAATGTGCTTCTAAGATCGGAAATCCAAGAGGTACCGATACTGCTACTCCCCGGACCTCTCCCAGGGTGCGCTCCGACCAGAAATTCGAGGCGAATCCAGCAGTGGCGACGAGGGTCTCCGGGGAGGTCCAAAAAGGGGAAAACGTGCGAAGGGTAGCGGTATGAGTACCTTCGCCTCCTCTGATAAGAAGCCTTCGCCCCTCCCCCTGCCCCCCCCTCCTTGGCGCGTGGCCGAACATCCGTGATCGCTCACAAGCCCTGCGCGCGCGCGTCGACTGACAACGCGCCCCCGCGGATCGTGGGGCCCGCCAGAAGTCGGCCCCTGGGCCTGCCCAGGGGTGCATTCGTGATCAAACTCTCGAGGCGGAGTCGGCCACGGTGACGAGGAAACCCCCACAGAGGCCCAAGAAGGGCGAGCGCGCCCAGGAACGTCAGACCCAAGAGCTCCGAACCCAAGAGCTTGCCCCCGAGAGGGGGGGAGGGGCCTGGCGCGACAGCAGCACGGGCGCCGCGCCGAGCAGCTGCAGCCTTCCCCTCACCTCTCGGGCGCGCGCGGGAGAGCAGGAGGCCAGCTGTTAGAGAAGGAGGAGGAGGGGGAGGAGGGAGGAGGAGGGAGGAGGAGGGAGGAGGAGGGATGAAGAGAAAAGGAGGAGGAGGAGGAATGGGAGGAGGAATGGAGGAGGAGGGAGAGAGGGAGGAAGGAGGAGGAGGAGGAGTTGGCAGTTATGGCGGAATGAACCCCTGTATAGATCGAGCCCCCTCCTCCACTGGCTCCTGCAGCAAACTCTGCCTCCTCCGTCCTCCGTCCTCCCTCCTCCTCCTCCTCCTCTCCTTCCTCCTCCTCCCGTCTTCTCCTCCTGTCCTTCTTCCCTCCCTCCTCTCTTCCTCCTTCTGCTCCTCCTCCCTCCTCCCTTCTCCTCCTCCCCCTAAACATCCTCCTCCTCCTCCTCCCCCTCCTCCTCCCCCCCCTCCTCCTCCTCCTTTTTCTTGCGCGGGCTGCTGAGCGATCCAGGCGCTCGTAGCGTCACTGCTCCTCCCCCTCCTCCCCCTCCCGGTTTCAAGCGACTTCTGGGCAGGGCGGGGAGCCGCCACTGCCGCCACCGGCCCCCTGGGGCTCTCGCCTGAATGGCGGGCCCATGGGGGTGCTCCTCTCTCGGGCGGACGCTCCCCCCGCAGCGGAAAAAAAACACGCTCGAGTGGAGGAGCGAAGCACCTGCATGAGCAGAATCCTTCGGAGGTCCTCGGGGATGTCTTGGATTCGGCGGTGGACAAACCTCCCTTTGGTAAACCACCCTCTAATGAAAACGGCCTGGGACCGAAACAGACGGACTTGGACCCGCAAAAATGACGGCCGCGACGCCCTCTCGTGAACCGAAAATGGCCAATTCGCTAATCGACGTGTCATGGTAGGAGGCCTGTCCACCCCCGATGGATATGCGCTGGGCTCCCATGGCGGCGCCTCCGGCGCCGCGCCCGTCGCGCTCTGCGCGCTGTGGAGGGAGGCCAAGCGCCAATCCAAGAAATCCGCGTGGACTTCCAACAGTGCGTGCGTGCGTGCGTGCGTGCGTGCGTGCGTGCGTGCGTGCGTGCGTGCGTGCGCGCGTGTGTGTGTGTGTGTGTGTGTGTGTGTGTGTGTGTGTGTGTGTGTGTCACGCTTGTCGGCTTCGAGCTACACACCTGCACCGATCCTGCCCAGGATCGGCGCGGGCGCGTCAAGTTGACGTCTTCGGAGAGAGGAGGGAGGACCCCCTGCGCGAGAACACACTGGCCCCGTGCTCCCCGAGCTTCCGAGACGGCCAAGGCGGGCCACCGAAACCGCCAAGACGGCCCAGGATGTCTCCAATCGGCGACCCTGGGTAAGAGTGACCTTTGGTGCGCGGCTTTTTGGGGGCCGCGGGGGGACCAAACCTGGGCGCGCAAGCCGCTGCTCCTGCTTCGCGTTCACCCACCTGGGGACCCATCTGTGCCCGCACCAAAGGTCACTCCGGCGAAAGGTCAGTCTTACGTCTAGTCGATCCAAAACGGCCCAAGATGGCCTCTGAACGGCCCGGGATGGCTTCAAGACGGACGCGGGAGGCCCCGAAGAGGGCCTGAACGGGTGACCACCAGACCCCCAGCAACATCCGAAGAAGCCCAAATCACAAGCGACCCTTAGGTTTTCGACAAGTTTGGCGGCTTGACCTTTTCGGACTCCCTTCAGCACCAAACTGTCCTAGCGGCCTCCCAGGTGGCCCCAAGAAGTAGAAGAGGGCCCCCGACTGGCCTCCAAGGCCGCCTCAAGACAGCCCAAGACGGCCCCAAGAGAGCCCCAAACACATCATGAATGTGAATGGAGGGACGCGAATGGGGGGGGCGCAGGTTTCCCAAACAAGGCAATTGCAGGCGAAAGCCCTTCTCATCATAGATGGCACGCTGCTCGATTTGAGTGCTGCATCTCAGACGGCGGCCCTCCCATGCTTGCGGCGGATTCCTAACGTGGCCACCAGAGTTGCACCACGAACATCGCACGCGGCAGCCTCCCACTGAGACATTCGGGTGCGCAAAACCAGAGGGAAGCCAAAAGTTACAATGCATGAGATGTGCTGCAAACTGACTTGAACTACCCAGGTGGGTAAAGAAAGGGCTCGGAAATGTCCCTACAGGAGACCCTCCCCCAACAAAAAACCTCTGCTTCTGGCGGGGAACAGCAGTCGCGCGCACGCGGCCCGGGTGAGGCCACGCAACACCTCGGGTTCTGGCGTTGCTCTCTTAGCTGGGCAATGTCACATGCTTCGCGCGCGTAGCTTCCTCTGCACAATGACCCGCTGACGCAGTCGCCGCGCCGCAGATGTTCGAAAAGGTGCAGAGCAACAAGAAGCCCCTACAGGGCCCCTACAGCGTGTCAAAGGCCCGGATTTCTTCACCTCCCATGTGTAGACCCCCCCACTACCCATTACCACTCGCACGACCAAGGCTGGCTCGCGAGGGGCTCCAGTGAGGCCCAAGACCGCGTGAGTGAGCCTCCCGACGGCCGCAGACAGCCCACGACAGGCGCAAGAGGCCCCCCGAGACGGCCAGCAGTGCCCCGAACACGACCCAAGAGAGCCCCAAAACGGCCCAAGGAAGCTCATTGACTGTCCCACCTGTCTCCTCCCCCTTCTTCCCTGACCTTCCAGAGTGCGAAAAAATAGCACTCCAGACCTATAGATCTATCTGGACTGCCTCAAACCTCGACAGGAATTAGGACGTCGACGTCCTGGTGCTATTTTTTAGCCCTCCTGGAAGGTCAGGGTCTCCTCCCCCTCCTTGGCTCCCCCCCTCCCCCGACCCTCCGGCTGTCGGCCCGGTCTGTCCGTTCCTGTCGTCTTCCCTCCCACTCCCCCAGCCGTCTCTCGCTCCTCGGCTCCTCACTTTCCTGCCCGTTTTTTGGCCGTTACCTGGCCCGCTTTTCTTCGTCGGCCCGTCCCGCGGTCCGAATGCGAGCTGCGGTAGCCCGGCGTTCCCCTCAGCAGCGTGCCATAACAAGGCGAACGAATTCGGACAACAGGAAGAAAGACGACGAGGACGAGAAGAGAACCCCCGCCACGACGCGGACAACTGTGTCTAATGCTGCGGGTCTCCCAAAGCCTCGGGACACGCTGCGTCACACCTGGAGGCCTCCTGTGCGCCTTCCCGAGCAGACGCCCCCGAAGGTGTTTGGCTGGCACGGCGGTGGGACCCGCCGAAGCCAGCTCGATATAGTCTTAGCTCTTCTGCAGAATTTGTTTAGACGCCTGGACATTGGCACCAAGACCAACACAGGGGGTTGCCTCCACAAGGGGAAAATGATCCTAGATTTCGGTGTTGGTGGCCATATTTTGGCCACCTTGGAAGCCAGAGTATTTCCACCATCCCCGCAGCCTGGTTCTTCTTCCCTCTGTGGAGGCACGCCGCCGATATTGGTGTTGGTGTCAACATCGAGGCGTGCGATGTTAAGGTTCAGTCAGAAAGCGACGGCCCACGTTTCCTCAATGACGCTTCCGAACATCCACTGGCCATCGCCAAACGAAGCACCAGGGGCAACAAAACTTGGGGCGGTGCCTTTTTTCCCGGGAAAGCAGAAAAGAATCATGCGAGATGCTCCACGTCCAGATACCACTTTCGGGCTCCGGAGCCGTCAACAGAACAACCCGCGAGGAAACCCACAACGGCGGCGCACAAAAGGGGTGGGGCGAGTGGGGTCATTGGGACAAAGATCCCTGGGGTAAGAACCCAGGGTCTGGAGTCTGGAAGCCGGTGGAACTCCAGTCCTCATCAGATCAAGAATCCTCCAGTGTCTGCAACCTTTTGGGCTCATTCCTCAACGAACGCCCCCACCGCATCTTCTAAGCAGCCTGTTTGGAGCCTCTGGGAGGCACCGTCGGGAAACCGTAAGACTCGGGTTCGGGGGACTCGGGTTGGCCAGACGGGGCAGAGAAACTTATGAGACCTACTCTGAAATTTGACGCGAGCTCCCGCTGCAAACGTCCAACGGAAACTGGGCCGTCGAAGCCCAGGCCGCGCTCGTCAAACAGCGCGGGCGAACCCGAGTTCCGGAGTTTTTTCCGTCGCCGCGCGGCAGAGGCAATCCGCACGCGCGCTCTAGTGGGCCAGGCGATGGCAAGCACTAACTTTCTGGCTACAAGAAAAGAAGACACCGGCGCAGCGCGGCCGCGGAGGGAGGAAGACGAGGGAGATCACTCACAGCGCGAAGGGCTGCGAATGAGTTCAGGCGCACACGAGTCCCATGTTCTCCCGACCCGTGCCTCCCCAGAAAGAAGGCCGCACGCCCTCGCCAGCTGCCCTCGCCCCCGTGGCTTTTTTGGCCCAGCACAGAACGCCCGAGCTGGTCGCGCGCGAAGCGCGCGGCACACCTCCGAGCAGGGCGCCCAGGAGTGCCTGCACGAATGCACGTGCAGCAGTCGGCCCGTGCAGCTCAGGCCGGCTGGAGCCCACGACAAGCGGCGGCTCACGTATAGCCGGGAGCCGCCACAGCTGCATGGGGGCTCTCTGGCAGCCAGCCAGCCAGAGAACCCGGGCGCCGGCGCCGCACCCTCTGGCCCGCCGGCCCAGCGCGGCGATGGACTACCCACAGCAGCGCCGGGACTCCATAGTTTCCCCTCCCCCCCCACGGGCGCGCCACCTGCGGGCAATGCTTATATCCATATCCAGAGCGTCTTGGACTGTTGGGGAAGGGGTGCCGCAAGGCCGAGTCGCACTGGATATGGATAAACATCGAGCCTTTAGGGGCCAGATGTTTATCCGTATCCAGTGCGCCTCCAGTTTCTGAGGAAGGGAGCCCAAAACTGCAAGACTCACTGGATGTGGATATAACTATTGCCCGCACCACCAGCCCGGAGCGAGGCTGAGAGGCCCCCAGGGGGCCCGCGCCCCGAGAGAGCCCGGCGTCGGCCGTGCCCTGGGGCCGAGGCTGCGGGCGGCAGGCAGGGCGCGGCCCGAGAAGGGGGGCCTGCCATCGCTCGGACGTCTATTCCCTGTGCTTTTGTCGGTTTCGTGCGTGGTTTTTTCTCGCTAAATGATC